CTCTTTATACTCAGCTGTTTACCTATCCCAACTGCATCGATCTGACCTCCTACTGTGGCACCTCCACTTCCAGCCTCAGGCCTCCTCACAGCCTCTTATACCTACTAGATTCTAACCCCCTAATTTCAAGGAATTGAGACACACAATGTAAATGTACCTATAGGCAGAGGAGAAAGCTAGTCCTGTATTCCTCAGAAACAATCCTGAACAAAGGAACTGAATTTTCACTCTTATCTGTCTGATCTGTGAAATTGAAATGAAATGAAATGAAATGAAAAGAAAATGGGCTACATGAGACCCTGCTTCAAAAAAAAGTACATTTGGACTGGAGATGTAGTTCAGTTGCCGTAGAATGCTTGCCTAGCACACAAGGAGCCCTGGGCTCAATCCTTAGCAATGCATGAACTGGATGTGGTAGTGGTGCACACATGTAATCCCAGCACTGGGAGGTGGAGACAGAGGAGAAGTTTTGTGTCCAGGGTAGCCTGGGCTTATGGAAAACATTAGACTGTCAAAAAATTAATTAATTAATTAAATGAAAAGGGTCAGATTACCTGAATGAGATTCCAAAGGTTGATGAAACAATAACCTGAGCACCTCCTCCCTCTGAGAGGGAATCAGAAAGGCAGTGCAGACGTTGTGTCTCTGGATCTTTCGAAGAAAGAGGAGCCTTGGCTTATGACAGGCATGTCCCCACACTGGTGGGGAGGGGGATTGGTACATTCAGCTATGATAATCTGATGGCATTAACCACAAAATCATGTCATGTGCCATTTCTTTTATGTCATTAAACATCTGATTATAATTTCACTTTGGGAGCAAAATGAGTTCAACTGGTGACCATAACACATTTTTATGACTGTGTGACAGGAGGCAAGTTACCTGAAATCTGTTTTTGTTGTTGTTTTGAGACAGGCTCTCCCTATGTAGCTCTGGTTGGCCTTGAACTCACAGAGATACACTTGTCTCTTCCTCCCAAGTGCTGCAATTGAAGGCATGTGCCACCACACATGGCTGAAATCTATATGTATCAAGTCCCTCGTCTATAAAATAATTATTTGCTATTGATAATATTGCTGAGAAACTAGAGGATGTGTGTGAATGCAGTGTGAATCTCAGAGCCTGGCAGAGAATAAGTACTGACCATCTGTTATGATCATTAGTCATTGGGTAGCATGTACATTCTTGGTGATAATCATAGGTCCTCACCTTAAACACTGGAATTGCATCTCTGTTCTGAAGCACAGGAAAACTGTCCTTTCCTGTATCTGCATATGCTGCTTCCTAGCTATCTCCAGGACCAGAAACCTTCATTACCTGTGGACTGTGTGCTGTGGAGCCTGTCCTGTTAAATACATAGGAGTTCATTCACTGAGACACAGCATCCTTACAGCTAACTGTAATAACAATTTAGGAAGTAAAGTAAAAACTTACATTGTGTTACAATGACATGAAACAATTATGATTCTTAAAATCAGTCAATTACTTTCCATTTTCTCTATTTGGCTAACTGTAGAACATAGTGTTTGGTTTGTGGCTTTGACAGGAGAATTTGATTTGCCTAGTGTGATGCTATTGCAAGGAAAAGTGTTTCTCACAATCTAACACATCGGGGTTGTTGATCTGTACCAGGAAGTCCATTCTACCTTATGTATTGGATGTCATGTTCCCGCCCAAGATATTCTAAGATTGGGTACACCTTAGACTTTACCTCAAGGATTTCAAATTTGTAGATTCTGGAAGGAAGGTGTGTGTGTGTGTGTGTGTGTGTGTGTGTGTGTGTGCGTGCGCGCGTGCTTAAGTGTGAACTCAGAGGCCAAAAATCAATGTTAGGTGTTTTCCTCAGTCACTCACCACTTTTTTTTTCTGAAATGGTATAGTTCAGATGGACCCGGAACTCCTGCCTCCACCTCTTCAGCATATTCTACTGATATGGACCACAATCGGCTCCACCTTATTTGTTTTGAGACAGAATTTCTCACTGAGCCTGGAGATTGCTCATTCAACTAGACTAGTTGGTCAGCAAACTCTAGAAATCTGCCTGTTTCCTCCTCTCCTCCCATGCTGAGGTTACAGACAATATCCCGGCTTTTTATACTGGTGCTGGAGATCTGAACGCAGGTCCTCATGCTCTCACAGCAAGCACTTTACTGACTGAGCCATCTCCCCAGCCCATTTGTTTTAGTAGTATTACGTTTGGCATTTTGAAAACCTTTCCACCTATGACACTGGAGGGTAAATAACTTAATTTTTTCACAAATTCGAGTGTACATATTAAGTTTATCCTGAAGGCTTAACTAGCACACATTTTCTTTTGCAGTCTGGCAGTCAGTAGCTGCTTACAAGTTAGTGGAAATCAGAGAGAACCACATGCAGCTTGTGGAAGGGCATGGCAGGAAGCTGCTACAGGTGGGAAGGAGGAAGCATATCTTGGGATGTAGAATTTGGAAGCATTTACATATGGATTTCAAAGGCCTGTTCTGAAAGCTGGATTGAAGGCGAGCATGGTTTCTGGTGCCCATGAGGAGTGTGCCACAAAGGAAGCAGAGATGAAATGCTAAAAGGGCAAACAGGAATGAGGATGTGATTCAGTTAGTTGGTAGGGTGCTTGCTTTGCATACATGAGACCCTAGGTACTATTCCTAGCACCACATAAAATCAAGTGTTGTGGTATATACCTGTGATCCCAGCACCCCAAGTGGAAACAGGAGGACCAGGGGGAGGAGGCAGGAAGATTGGAAGTTCACCTTAGGTACTTAGTAAGTTTGAGGCCAGCCTGGGCTACGTGCTCGGTGAGACTGTGTCCAAAAAGAAAAAAAAAAAAAAGAATCCCATAAGATATCCTCTGCTGATTTCCACATGAGCACTACCATACCCACACACAATTTTAAAAGTGTGAACAACATATAACTCTTATGCCGAAAGGAACTTTTAGAAGAATGTTTCTGGGGATGGTAGCCTGGGGTATCCATCTTCCATGGAAAGAAGCAAAAACCACCAATTTCAGTTTTTCTGATTCTTTAGCTAGAATTAAGAAACAGGAAGAGTGCTGTTAATATTTCATTGCTTACCTTTGGGGAACTGGGTGACCCAGTTTTGACATTTTTGTCAGACTTACAAAATATTGTGATTGAATTTATTTGAACATAGGATGTCCTTATCCGGAGTCATTAGCTCTACTCTCTCAGGTAACAGATGTGGCACCTGAAGGTGATTAGAATGGATGATTATGACAGCATCTTCATTTTTCTCCTGTCGGTTTTTTCATTTTAAATAATATAAAAGAAATATGGAAAAGTCAGATGATGCCTATTTTCATGTTTTGTTACCTTTCTACTCTCAAGTGTCCCATGTCTGTTATAAAGCTGGTATGTATGTCAGTCATTTCTGTGGGTGTGAATGCATGTCTCTAGGACCTCAGATGTAAAGAGCTGAGTGAATCCAATATGTCAGACCATAGTATGTTATGATTGGTCAGAGCTGGGCTACTTGATATTTATTTACTTATTTCCTTTTGTCTTTTTTCTCCTTTCCCATTTATCTCCCCCATGCCACATCTCTCTAGCATATTCAATGTAATAGGGTTTTGTTTTATGTGCTCTTGAAAATGTTTATGCCTGCTTTGTGTTTCTCTGTTTAGACCTACATGAATGCCTCAGCTCTGTCTAGCCTGTTCTGTTTCTCATGACGTAGACTTGTTATTGTACATCTGGCTTATTATTTCTAATTACTGCCTGGAATCCCAGAGCATAGCTACCATGTGTTACTTTTCTTCCAGCTCCCCACTGCCACAGAGGACATAGAGATGAGTGGCCTTAGGCAGGTTATTGTGCTATATATAAAGTTCATACCTCCTGGGAGGGCATGTGTGTCTTTGAGTTATATTGCTCACAGATAGACAAGATGCAGTAACTGAATCTGTGTACATCTCTGGTAGGAGTTCATGCTTCCACCAAGATTAGATATCCAGCTTTCCAATTCCGACAGATAGGTGTGAAGTGATGTCTAGTTCTGACATGCATTTATTTCCACCCATGAGAGTTGGAGCATCTCTACCTTGTTAATTCAATTTTTATGTTCTTTTACCACTCAAATATTTTATCCATTGGAATATATCTCCATGGTTTTTGATATTTGATTAATATATTAGCAGTACATGTAAGCATAACAATTAGGTTGGACCATATGAAGCTATAAAATATCCAGTCTATAAAACATCAAAATAGGCTGGGAATATAGTTCAGTTGGTAAAGTGCTTGCCTAGCATGCTCAAAGCCCTGGGTTTGATCTTTAGCACTTCATAAACCAGATCTGGTGTTGCACACCTGTAATCTCAGCACTCAAGAGGTCGAGGCAGAAGGACCAGAAATTCAAGATTGTCCTTGCCTACATAGAGAGCTTGAAGCCAGCCTGTGATATATAAGACCTATCCCAAAATAAACAAATTAAACTAAAAAGAAAACAACAAAATCTACAATCCACCCTAATATGTTGGAATTATGTTTTTTTCTGCTTTTATATTGTAAGTAATATTTTAAGAAATATATGCTTAATGTTTCTTTTTGAATTCATCCTTATAAGTTATTAAAAGATTACTAAATCAGAGAATCAACAGTTTATAGCTATTGCTACATGTTGCCAAACCACTTTCTAGAAGGGCTAATTTACATTATGCATTATGTATTTAGAGATTATACCGGTTTGCTGCAATTTGATTTTCATTACATATTTCCATTTAAACTATTATTTTAGTAACTGGAGAACATTACCTTGTTGCTTTTATTTGTATTATTTAATTGCAGTCAGTATTAATCATTCATTCTGATGATCACAGATGAATAGTATATTTTATGTGTGGTTTATTTCTACCCTTAGCCCATTTTCCTATTAGTATTATTTCTTACAGTCAATTGGATATTGAATTTTCATGTAATGTAGATTTATTCTGTCTTGAATTCTTGAAAATGAAGTTTTCCATTGACATGTGATTTATTCTTCAGATGACAATCAAAACAAAACTCATGATAAAAAAGAGAAGAAGATGGTTGTTCAGAAGCCCCATGGTACCATGGAGTACACTGTAAGTATATCAGGTGCTTTGAATGCTTGTTACCACTGCATTGTGTAAGCATACTGCTTCTCCCTGACTTCTCTTTTACCTTAGCTGCATTCTTCTTTTTGCACTTGATAATGAGGTTTCTCGGGACCTGTTATAGTTTGTTTCTTTTCCGCCATGCTTTCTCCCTGAACAAACTTGTGCAAACAAAACACTGAAAGATCAATGTACACATGTCCTGGCTACCATATCTGTCACCCCAGTGATCACCAGCATTGCTTAGGCTCCTATTCAATACCTGACAGGTATAAGGGGACAATGCCATATACATCCCTTATATTGCTTACAATGCCATATACATCCCACCAGAAGCAGATTCAAAGAAAAGACTGTTCTCAATAGAGGAGGACCATTTTCAGTTAAGGGTGCAGTAGTGACTGTGCTCCTGCGCCTAAACCTTCAAACTGATGGTTTGAATTATCTCCAAACTACTATGATTACCAACTGTGGGTCTCTATCCCAGACACCTTCTCTTAGGTTCAAAGCCATCTTAGTCAGTTGGCTGCTCAGCATAGCCTCCAAGTCCTTTTGCTTGATCCTTTTTTAAGAAGCAATGGTGCTATCATCCAAGTATTTGTACAAGCCAGACCTTCATGTTTGAATCATCTTCTCTTTACTCTCTATGTTTATTCCCAACTCTCCTCACCATCCAGCAGCTCTAGGTCATATTCTATTCTCTTGTTCATCATTAAATCATTTTAACTTTGTTCACTAGTGTGATTGTTATTTTAATGTCTATCTTATGCCTTAATACTGTTATTCATGGGGAGAAACTAGAGCTTTTTGGGTTGTATTCTTGGCTTCTTTCAGGGTATGTGCTTCCATATCCTTGAATCTATAGATGGATAATGAATAATGCTGTGCAAGTGTCCCTTCTGAACCTGCGCTTACCTCTCTCACTGTCCCATGAGCTCCTAGAACCAGGAACTCTATCCTGTGTGTCCTAGACTTGACATTATATGAGTACACAGTGGTAGGTCTATATAAATTTACTGTGAAATAGCACTGTTGTTTCCTTTGACTTTTAAGAAGAAATTAAATATTGTTGCCATTGCCTGATTTTGTTTTTCTGATATATCCTTATCTTAGATTTGCTTTGCAAAGCCATACATCCAGTGAGTAGCAGCTCTTGAAGTCAAAACTAGTAATTGGGATGTAGTATCTGGATTTTCAACTTATATCTTATATTGACTCTAATTCCTGAAAATCCCTGGGTTTCAGTATATTATATAATAGTAAAATAATAAAAGTTTTACCAAAGGAAAATTAGAAATCTTTTAGTGGACAGTAAAAATTGAAGATAGAATAGCTCAGAAATGAACTACAGCTAAGATGGTTTTCTGCGCGTTTCTTAAGAATTATATAGTCAGACATGGTGGGGTACAACTTTGTTTAAAAACAAAAACCACCACCACCATCAACAACAAAAGGGCCAAATAGATGGCTCAGTGGTTAAGAATGTGTGTTCCTGAATTCAATTTCCAGCAACGATGTCAGGCAGATCACAACTACCTTTAGCTCCAGCTTGTGGGGGATCTGACACCTCTGGTTTCTACAGGCCCTGGGACTCATAGGCACATAACTCCCCCCCAACACACACACATATAACACAAATTTTTAAAAAATTGAAAAAAACCTCAAAAACCAAAAGTTGAAAAAACCAAAAAATTGAAAAAAAAAATGAAAAACCAAAAAATTGAAAAAAAACTAAAAAAAAAAACAAAAAAAAATTTAAATTAAAATTTACTTGCCTTTCTTTTCCTTAGTATATGGATGAAACTATTACTTTTTCAGTTGGTGATATGAATAAATTCATGTTGTTTATCAAAAGTATTTGTTGCTTTATGTACTGAATCTTGTTTGTTTAATCCCTCTAGGCTAGAAGCCAGGACACCCTGAACTCCATAGCACTGAAGTTCAACATCACTCCCAATAAATTAGTGGAACTGAATAAACTTTTCACACATACTATTGTTCCAGGCCAGGTAATTATTTTCCCATTGAATATCACTTTAGAAATTCTGCATTTATCTTTTTTTTTGTGTGTGAATTTGTTATAGTTTATACCGTGGGGGGTGACACAAAGAAACAAACACCCGGTGGCTTTTTGTGACCATATTAAATGCCCCACTATTGGTGCCACAGAATTATCTTCAGTGAAAAAGAGCCTTTCTTCTCCCTTAGATCCAGGAACTTTGAAGGTATCTTACTATTTGGAAATGGTTCAAAGATTAATACTTGGAAAATGATTGGCACACTTATCATCACTATCATTAATTTATATAGGAAATATTTCCTGGAGCATCCAGAGAAGATCTAAATCAATGAGACGTTTTTTTCCTGTCCAGTATAACGCAGATATCCTTAGAATGTTTAATTGAAAATGACAAGTTCAATTCAGCCTACTCTTAAGTATGGCCATCACTTTATTTAAAATAAGGAAAAAGTCTGTTGTTTGGTCTTAGTTTGATACCATTACTAGTCAACCTGCCAGAGAAAAAGACATTCCGCAAGGCCATCAGAAAAAAGGTCAACTTAAATTATTTTTCAGTGTTTTAATAACTTATTTGTTAAATAAAATTGAAAAATATGTAATCTTGTCCCCTACATGATGTTTTGCTTTCAAGGATCTGTCTTAGTATGTAGAGGGATAGGTATCTCTTATTGTAGTAGATTTGATAAATCAAAATCAGTTTGATCTGCTTTATTTCCAGAAAATTTGAGATTCACCTTTCTTGAGATTAATTTGATAGTCACCCTGAGGCAGAAAAGAACTGGTGTGGCTGGCTGACCGTAGACATGTGGTTTTCAGAGGTTACCTGGAAGCTGAATGAACTAAAATCTTACCCTAGACTTTTTCTTGCATCAAAAGACAAAAAGAAAGATCAGATAAGCTTTAAAAATTAGCTGAGACATAAAATGTTTTTTTGGAGGTTCTGATGTAGGCTATTTTGATACTTGTTAAAAGTTTGAGGACATGTCCTAAAATGTACATTGACACACTTTTTTTTCTTTTCTTTATGTAATCCAGGCTGGACTTGAACTCAGAGATTCACCTGCTAGGATTAAAGGCATGTGCACCATGCTGAGCTTACATTGACACACTCCTAAGCAACCCTCTGGATATAGACCTTAAGATGTTTTCCTACTTGTGAGACACCTTGGCTACAAATAATATTTTTTCTAGGTTAAAATGGCACTTTAATTTATGATAAAGCACTTTAGTACCTCACATCTTCATTTGTCTATGTGTTGGAACAAATACAGAATTATTTCCTGAAGGCAGAGGGAAAACTTCTCACCTGGCTGTGATCTAGACCCATGACCATGTGGAAGAAGTGTGTACCCTGTTGAGCTTCACAACTTTCAAATGCTGTATCTGTCTACAGTGCAGCATTTAGTGTGTCAATGTGTTACCAGATACTTTCCAAGAGTGCAGCTGCGTTCATTCCTCTAGTTTAGCACATAAAATAAATAAGAGACTATGTACTAAGACTACATAATTTTTTTTTCAAGGGCTGGTCCCGCAGGCACTACCCTGTGCCTGCGCCTGTGCAGTGCCAAGACTACATGATTTTAATCATTTGTGAACAACTTCCATAGAACTCTGAACTTGTCAGCTGCTATTAACCCATATTGAAGCTGTTATAAAGAGCAGTCCTCCAAAACTACTTGTTGTATTCTCTATTAGTGCATCATCCAGGATATGGAGTTCAGCACCTGGCATTGTTTCAATGAGATTGTATAGGAAAATACTTATGCTTCTGAGAAACTAGATTGTTTTTATCTTATGGTAATTAACATCTACTAACTACTGATATTTCTCTTTGCATTGGTTTAAAGACCCTCATAGCTGGTTTTGGCTAACCTCTCAATAGGCATTTAATAATTTTGTAGCACCTATTTTCAGTAGTATCCAGTCCTCATCTTACATCCCAATGATTTCATTTTTTTTTCATGTATTTTCTGAGTTTACTCAATCTTTTTTATTGATCCAGTTGAGAGAGAGGTGAGGATGTAGGCACACACATATCTCCTAATCTCTGTTGGGAGGTTGTTCTCACTTTCCACCTTGCTGAGACAAGGTCTCCCTTGTTTCTGCTGCTGTGCTGCATACTCAGACCTACCTGGGCTGCAAGCCTCTGGGAAGCTTTTCCATCTCTGCCTCCCACCTCCCTGTAGCTTTTTCCCTGAAGGAATATTAAATGGCAGGCCAGTTGTGGCTACAGTATCATAAAAAAAGCCTCTGGGAAGCTTTTCCATCTCTGCCTCCCACCTCCCTGTAGCTTTTTCTCTAAGGAATATTAAATGACAGGCCAGTTGTGGCTACAGTATCATAAAAACAGTTTAGGAGCCAGAGTATTTTGCAATAGAGGTTATTTTATACAACTTGTGGAGATTTATTTATTTATTTGTTCTTTTATTATTTGGTCTTTTTGAGACAGGGTCTCCCTTAGCCCCAGATGGCCTGGGACTTGCTATATAGACCATGTAGACCTTGATCTTACAGAGATCTTCCTGCCTTTGCCTCCCTAGTGCTGGGATTAAAGGCATGTGCCACCATGCCTGGCAAGATAGTCTTATTTTTATATAGCCCAGACACAAACAGTAGAGAAAGTGTAAAAATTATTCATAGATATTGCTGTGTATAGTTCATTATACTTTGGCACTCAGGGCTTACATTTGACCCTGCAAGCCTGGGAAGCATGCTGTGCTTCCTTTTCCTCTCCCTCATACAGGTTCAGCATTTATAATATAAAATTTCAAAATGCTCCAAAATCTGAAACTCATCCCATTTGGAGAACTTCAGATTTTTTAATTTTAAAAACTAAAATTTTGATTGATTGATTGACTGATTGATTGATTGATTGATTGATTGATGGATGGAGGGGCATACACATGCCATGGCACGCATGTCAGAGAGCAACTTGTAGGAGTCTGTTCTCTCCTTCTACCTGGGATATCAAACTCAGGTCTTCAGGCTTGGCAGTAAGCACCTTTACCTGCTGAGCCATCTTGCTCGCCCTCAGATTTTGGATTTTCAGGTTAGGGATGCTTAAAAGACAAAGTCTATGCAGATATCTTTTAGAAAGCTGAAGCTGAAGCACTGGCCCCAAGCATCCCAGGTAAGGGGAGCTCAGCTGTGCTAGCCTCCTTCACAGGAAGGCTTTTCAAACCTCTGTCCTTGCCAGTTCCTGTTGTTCAGGCTTCACCTGACCTGCCCAGATGCTCACTGGAAGCTCTTGCAGTGTGCCATACTCCTTGTACTGTGCACATTCATATTACTAGGCACAGTGTATGTGTAGTCTAGAAGACTCCAGGTTGCTTATAAGCAACTAAAAGCCATCTCTGTCCTAGCCAGGCAGTGAGTATGATGTGCAGACGTTGAGCTCTTCAGTCCTAACTAGGAGGTTGCCTGACTTTGTCGCTCACTCAGCCATTCTTTCCCATCCCCAGGTCCTTTTTGTGCCAGATGCCAACTTTCCTTCTAGTACCTTACGGCTATCATCATCCAGTCCTGGTGCTACTGTCTCCCCTTCATCATCAGATGCAGAATATGATAAACTGCCTGTATGTATGTATGTTATACATTTTATGCACCGAAGCTTATTTTTAGCACAAGATTTTTTTTGTAAGTTGTAGAAATTATACATTTATTTTTTACAAGTTTGCATCTGAAATTTCCTCTAAAGAAGTGCAGTTAGATAAATTGTCATCAATTAGGAGAGTACGTCTCCAAGCACACCTGTTTAACAAAAAGGTCCCAAAGGTAAAAACATAGGCCTTGTACAAAAGCATGATGCTAAACTCCCAAAGAACTGGGTACATTATTTGTATCCCTCTTTTCCTAGAGAATTTGAGTCAGCAATCTAATATGAATTCTTTCATGAGTGGATATATTTATAATCTTAGTTTGATTTGAATATCTATAATATTTGTGATATTTTAAGAACAAGTGTCATTTGCCTTTTTTAATGTTCAAGCTAAATAGAAATAACATACTTACAGTATAATGTGTTTTAAAAGGGTGCTTTTGTTTCATTTGGAAATTTTTGTTTTCATAAGGATGCTGACTTAGCAAGAAAGGCCTTAAAGCCCATTGAAAGAGTCTTATCATCCACTTCTGAAGAAGATGAGCCAGGTGTGGTGAAATTTCTAAAAATGAATTGTCGATACTTCACGGATGGAAAGGTATATGTCAGGGTCATTACTTCCTTTTCATAAAATCTGTGGAACAGTAAACAAGGTTACACATTGCTGGAAGGAAGCCTTCCTTAAAATAATTTACCCACAGTGTGTCAGTGTAAGATTTAACAAGCATCCATTGATTTTTCTTGTTGGGTACCTGACTTTACTTATTAAAGGAAATGTACTCATTAAGTAGAAAAATTATGCCTGCCTTGTGATCATGATTTTGTCACTTTTTCTTTCAGTTCTTGACTATAAATTGTTAGGTATATATTTAACAACAAACACTTGGTGACTTTAAATTTTAACTCCTACCACTCACTATCTCTGAGACCAGAGGAAGGTATTTGAGTATCCTAATCTATTTTTTTCATCTATAAGCTAAAAATTATACTAAAATTTAACTAACATGGTGTTAAAAGAGATGATTCACGTGAAGATCTAGAAAATAGACGTTTTCAACTTGTGTTTGCTGCTGGTAATGCTGATATTAAAAGGACTTCAGCTGGGTCCTGTGTTTAGTTTTCTGGTTGTTGGTGCTTTACAAAAACAAATCCAGCTCTTGGTGAACTTCTGAAGAAGACTGTTAATATTCTGTACTTACAGTAGAGAATTTAGATCAGGTTACAAATAGTAGGAAAACCTTTGAAAACAAAAATAATGTCACAAAGATGATTACTAGACTCAAGTGTGTTGGATAAATTAGCTACAGGGATCATCTATCTCCTGCCATTCCTAATAGATACTATCTTGCTGACCACTGAGTTCTCTAGTATAATGGGATCAAGCTTCAGACGTTAGGACCCACTAGCCTATCTTTTATTTTCCCTAATGCAGTTCTGCTCACTCTGGAAATTTTCCTATTGGTGTATATGTATATGTATTTTTTTCTGGAGTTAAGATTTGTGATTGTGTTAAAGAAAAATACTGGCACCAGGATTCTGATTCCTCCTTAGCACCATACATATGGGACACAGTTTAGATGAACAGTGAGCCTTGGTGAGTGGATTATAAAGAACTGTGTTCTTGGTTGTGAACGGGCTTGGAACAGACCTTCTCATTTCTTGTACAGAGAAATGTGAAGTATGAGATATGTGTGCAAGGCAAGATCACACCACAGATGTCCTGTTGCAAATGTGTGAGAACCAGGCTCTGTTGCCTGCCACACAGAGCTGTCACCATTTCTCCAGCATATTTTCTAGCTTTCCCAGCACAGATGTGATTGTCACACAGAATACTCTGGCTCACAAAGTCAACGAAATGACACATTCATTAAAGTTCTATACTGCCTGTGGAAAGCTTTTCTGCCTAAAGTATTTCTTTTCTGTTCCTTTCTTCTGCAGGGTGTGGTTGGAGGTGTCATGATTGTTACTCCTAACAACATCATGTTTGACCCTCATAAGTCCGATCCTCTGGTTATTGAAAACGGGTGTGAGGAATATGGCCTTATTTGCCCCATGGAAGAGGTGGTCTCCATTGCCCTGTACAATGACATTTCCCACATGAAGATCAAAGATGCCTTGCCATCGTAAGCCATTTCTTCTTTATAGGATTTAAATAGAATTTCAAAGTGAGAGTATTTGTAGAGGTAAGGGCATTTGTAGAAGCAAGGGATTATGTAGAGGTGAATTCAAAGGTGAAAATTTTGTGCAAGGCTGTGACGATTAAAAAAAATGACAAGTGGAAATGATTAAGGAAAGTTAAACATTCAAAGGAGAAATTGGCTGAAATACATGGGGGTGGGAAGAGAGAGAGACTAACATTCAGGTTTTGTACTATATGTGGGGACATTTACTAATTCTAACTACCACAGAAAGTAGGAAGGGAACACTGAAGGAAACTGAAGGAATTATTAGTTGCCTGCCCAAGTCTAGAAAAACATTAACAGCTGAACCAGTTAACACCATTATGTACTTTGCCCCAACAATGCTTGGCAGCTGCAGGAGGCTAAACTAGTCACACTTGGGGACTTCAAACCTTAGATTGAGTAGAGGAACATGAATGGAGGGGTAGGCATGGTTAGTTAGGAGGCTAATTGGAATGCAGTCAAATGTATTTATGGGGTCATATCCTATGGGAAGGGAAAGATAAAGGGGCTTGGATGTTTATGGAAGAAAATTTTGCTTATTAATCAAGTATGTGAAGACCTGAGTTTCTTTGTTTCAGGATTTCTCACAGCGTTTAACCTGCCAAATGAAATTTCGAGTTCCAGTTTAGAGATTATGCACTATCACACTAAGTTATTTGACTCTGAAGTCAGAGCATCTTTAATGTGTTCTGGGGTGCTAGTGTTAGGCAGTATATTTTGTGTATTCAAGTTCCCAGAGCAAAAACTCTGTCACAATCTTATTTTACAGTATGGCACTAAGAGGCTCAATGAATGTTTATTGAATTAAAATGAAAGATGAGTTGAAACTTTTTAAGACATTTATCAGAGCCTAACAATTTTATAGGCTTTTATTTCCCATTTGAAAAAGCCTGGGCAGTGCATTGCAAATGACCTGCAAAATAACTTAAGGGAGACAAACTCAGAACTTTGTGGTACTTAGTTGTTTTATTATCATGATCATTTATTTCAAAGCAAGAATTACAAAGAATTACTTGAAAAAGATCAGGCCTTTTTAGAACATACAGCTAATTCTGAAATTGTAAATGTTAGTTTTAGAAAGGAGTTGTGTGTCTGCGTTCAGCAGTGATGCTGCTGGTGGTGGTGACTACAAATGTAGGGATGCCCAAAGTCTTTGCAGTCACAGTTTAAAGTGGGTGTGTTTCTCAGCCAAGTGTAGTGGCGCAAACCTGTAATCCTAACACTGGGAGACTGAGAAAGGAGGGTTGCAGGTTCAAAGCCAGCCTAAGTTACAAAACAGAACTACAAAAATGACAAGAAACTGCCAACCAAACTAAAAAAGTATATTTTCTTGACAGTTTATTTTGAACTTGGGAGAACATATTTAACAAATATTTTATATAATTCAATTCTGGATAGTAAACATCAATTATCAGGGGGAAATAGCTAACTATGTCTCAGGATAATATATTTCAACTGATAAATCAGTTGTCACACTGTTACTGTTACAAATATTAAAAATGTTTTAGAAACAAACTTGATATTATAAGAACTCTTCTACAAACTTAATTTTTTCTGTACATTTTTTAAACTAAAATTTTGTTACTTCCAGTAATAATGGAACATAACTTTTCTATCACCTTTGCAAGTAGTGGAGCTTTTTTTGTTGGAAACGTCCAATTTTAAGTCAGAAAATGAAAAGTCATCATTCAAATCAGCCACTTTACGGGAGCAGTTAGTGGAGCTATGAACTCCACAAACTTCTAAGAATTAATGCAGTTGTTTTCTACTATTTTATTAAAAAGGGAAAGACTTGGACTACTTAGGGAATTTTAGTCACCAATATTAAAATCTTTCCTCTCCATGAATATGGGAAACATCATTTCATATTGAAAAATCTTATGCATAATATCTCCATGCCTTAAACCCTTCTTCTGTTTCCGGTAGGATACTCAGCTCACATGGTTCACTCATTTGCCATTTCCTTTGGTTGACTTACATTTCATTTTGAAATCAATCTTTTGGTTTCATTTTCTTATTTTGAAATTGTTTTAGTATGAATTTAAGTTGTGGTCTCATTTTTGTTTTGATTCTTGGTTGAGGTTTTGTTTTGTGCTTTGCCTTTCCTCCATTTGCTTTTGGTTTTATTTTTAACATTCCATGTGCATCCATCATTTTTGCCCCAACAGTGACCTACCTCAGGATCTTTGTCCTCTGTACAGGCCTGGAGAATGGGAAGACCTGGCTTCAGAAAAGGATATCAACCCATTCAGTAAGTTCAAGTCCATTAATAAGGAAAGACGAATGCAGAACGGGGAGACAACCCTTACTTCAGATTCCAAGTCAATGGGCTCTTCAGAGGAGTCAAATGAATACACACATATGAAGCTCTCTGACAGCTCTGAGTCATGGAAACTAAAGAAACTGGAATCTTCCAGGGGAACAGCCAGTGAATCTCCCACTGTGACTAAGCTCAGCAAGAGACCTTCAAACACCCATGATGCATTGGAATCTATAGCCAAAGAAAACTCTCTTTTAGTGGAAGACGATGACTTTGTTGATTTGGAAGAACTTTCTTCTCAACCTGAGAGTGGAATGGACAAAGGAGATGCCTCGAAGGAATGCCTTTCAGATGACCCAAAGAAGAGTGAACCCAAAACAGTCAGTTCTGTAAGGAGAACGCAGGTGCAGTCATCAGCCCTGAACTTTTTGGGAACAGAGAGTGATGCTGAATTGAAGGGGGCTCTAGATTCAAAAACCTGTGAGAAGCAAGACGAAGTGCCAGAAGTAGACAAGCAGTCTGACTCCCCGGAAAGCCAGGTGGAAAACACAAATATACACGAAGACCTTGATAAAATCAAACTCATCGAATTTTACCTAAATAAGAACAAAGAAGGGTCACAGTTGTCCGAAAATGTGCAAAAGGCTGAACTAAGTGATGGCAAAAATATTGAATCAGGGGGAATAGACATCACGCTTAGTAGTTCTCTTCCCCAAGCAGGTGATTCTTCACCTGAGGGCAACAAAGAGCCAGATAAAATCTGGGTAAAAGAGAGAGACCCCTTTCCCCTGAAACTGGACCCCAGTATAGAAGGAAATGAGACTAACAATAAAGAGGCTCAAGATTCCTCAGAATCAACTCTGGACAAGAGCTGTCAAGGCGCACAAATGGATAATAAATCTGAAATTCAGTTATGGCTATTAAAGAGAATTCAGGTACCCATTGAAGGTAAGCTGTTTCGGTTTTCTTTGGGGGGCATGCGTTTGTAGTATGTATGCAAATGTATATACATGTTCTCATGTGTGGGTTCACATATATGGATGTAAGTGTACATACACAGGTGGAGACCCAAGATTGACACTGAGTATCTTCAGTGATTCACTGAGCCTGGAGTTCTCTGATTCAGTTTGTCTAGCTAGCCAGCTTGCCCAAGGGAAACCCTGTCCATGCCTCTCCAGCACTGAGATTACAGACAGGCCACCATGACGACCTGGCTCTGCTGGTGGTGCTGGGAGTCCAAAGTCTAATCATTATGCTTATATGGGGGCAAGCACTCTTATCTACTGAGCCATCTCCCCAGTTTCTGGTTTTTTGTTCGTTTGTTTAATGCCTTTATATTCTGTTCTTATATTATGTTGCCTTTGTAAAACTTGTACTTCTAATAACAACAGTAGAATAATTGTTTGAGGGCAATGTAAAACATGGTATATGGTATATACTTTGGAACTTGAACTATAAGATCGATTTCTATTTCAAAGTATCTTACTTTTTTTAATCTTTCAAATTATTTGTTTACTTATTTATTTATTTTATACCTTGAATCTCTAAAGAAGTTTAAAGTGCTTTTGAGAAATTTTAGTTCTAAACAAAATTGTATTTTGGTGGAATCCAGTCTTACTGCTGCTGTTTATTAATATGCATGATGGCGAGATATTACAGTTCTACAACTTTTGCTCCTGTTGGTGTCTATGCTTGCTTTCAGTATGTAGCATGTCTTGTGACATGCATGCACCAATCTGAAACATGCAAAAATTTGTCGTTTTGTTCTAAAGAAAGTCTGCTGGCTTATTTCCTTTTTATATTTTTTATTTTTTGTTTTGTTTTTATTTATGTGGGGGGCATCCCTTTGAAACAGAATCTCCCTGTAGCCCCAGCTGGCCTGACATTTCCTCTGTAAACCAAGCTGGCCTCTATCTCACAGAGATCTGCCTGCCTCTGCCTCCTGAGTGCTGGGATTAAAGGCATGCACTACCATGCCCAGCTATTTATTTTTCATGTATGTAAATGTTTTGTTTGCGTGTATGTAAGTGCACTACATGTGTGCAGAGCCTGCAGAAGCCAGAAAAGGGAGTCAGATCTTCTGGGACTGGAATTATAGACTGTTGTTAGCTGCCATGTGGGTGCTGTGAACTGAACCTGGGTCTTCTGCGCAGCCATCTCTCCACCCCCTGATTTTATTAGTTCTAATATCATGTAGCTGAATCTTATTTTTGACTGATGCTGACACCTCTTTGTTAGTTGAGTTTTACTGTCACCAATCTTATCAATACTGAGGAAGGTTTTTTCATGTGATTCAGATATTCTCCCCTCAAAAGAAGAAAAGAGCAAGACCCCACCCATGTTCCTGTGCATCAAAGTGGGGAAACCAATGAGAAAATCCTTTGCCACTCACACCACAGCCATGGTTCAGCAGTACAGCAAGAGAAGAAAGCAGCCAGAGTACTGGTTTGCTGTTCCCCGGGAGAGGTGAGCATGCAGGAAAAAGTATCTACCAGCCATCATTCCAGGTGCTTTTGGCTATTATTGGTCTTTAAATATTTCATTTTATTTTCAAATAAAAGCTTTAAGTATAGAATTTTGAATTTCTAGGAGGAGTCCCTTTCTGTTAAATGCTAACTGGTGGTATGTGTCTGGGGTGGAGGGATGTTTGTTTTTTGAGACAGGGTCTCACTTTGTAGCCCTGGCTGGCTTGGAACTCACTATGTGGATCAGGTTAGCCTCCAACTCATGGCGGTCTGCTTGCCTCTTCCTCCCGAGTGCTGGGATTAAAGGCACACACCAGCACATCCAGCACATGGTGCTTTTGATATAACACATACGCAGTCACTGTAGGTGCAGTGTGCTGATCCACATTCATAACTTCCTGCAGAGTTGATTTTTAAATGAAGGAAAATGTGGGTATTCTCCAATATCAGTATTGGAAGTGCTCTTCCTGTGAGAATAAAGGAATAAGGTGGAGCTGATCCAACTTTTGAAGTGCAGTAAAGAGGTAGGATTGATGGTCTTTTTAAAATGTGCATAATGTAGGGAACTGAAGATTCTTTGGCCTTCTGAAGGGTGTTATCTGTGACTCAGCAGCATGAGAAATGTGGTACGTGATGCCCAGGGTAGAGAGCGGGTTTACATGGTTTTAAAGAGGTTTGTATGTTTATTAGGGTTTTTTATTTTGGCTGATTTTTAAATTGATGATAACTGTACATCTTCATGAGGCACAGTGTGATATATATAATACATGAATACAATGTATTAGATAACCAAATCAGGGTAATTAGCATATCTGTCACCTAGAATGTTTATCACTTCTTTGTAGAAGCATTAAGCAGTCTTGTAGCAAGTTTTTGATGCACAGTTGGTTACTAGTTCTTGTCCCTTGCTGTTTTATAGAACAGAACTTACTCCTTTTTTCTAACCCTGATTTTTGTACTCGTTAGCAAAGCTCTCCCTGTTGCCAACACCTGCCAGCCTCTAGCAGCCACAGTTCTATTCTTTGCTTCTACTAGACTAACCTTGTTAGCATTCATGTATGGGTGAGAATGTGTGTTGTCTTTCTGCCCGACTTATTTCACTCAAGCCCTTAGTCTCATTCATACTGCTGTGCATCACAGGTCTGTGTTCATTTTGTGGCTGAGGAATATTGCACTGTGGAAACGTCACCTTTCCTTTATCCATTCATTTGTTGTTGGACACTTAGGTTGATTCCACATCTTGACTTATGAGTAGCACTGCAGTAAATATGGGAGTGCAGACAGACTTTTGTATTTGTAAATCACCAAAGAAGAAATTGTATTGGTTTTGTGACAGTCTAGGATAGCAATGATAGGGGTGTAGAAATTCTTCAGCAGTACACTACTATTTTATTTACTATTTTTATCATTTATTTTAAATATACTTTATCCTAACTACTATTATAAATAGAATACAGAACTTATGTATGAGTATTTCTCTGCACGTAGGGGCACCACATGCATGTGATGCCCACAGAGGCTAGAAGAGGGCATTGAATCCCTTAGAACTGGTGTTTATAGATGGTTTGTTGCCATGTGGGTACTGGGAGCTGAAGGAGGGTCCTCTGCAAGAGCAGCCAGTGCTCTTAACCACTGAGCCATCTCTGCAGCCCCAAAAATAGCACTTTTAAAAGAAAACTTAATTAGGAAATATACTTTTTAAAAAATTTAAGTGATTTCCTTTATATAGTGGCAGGAAAAAAAATAAGACTTAAAGAAGAATAAAGTCTTACAGAGGACTTATAATTAATTTTGACGTTGAAACCCATATATCTTCCTTTTCCTGACTAGTCACCAGACATCATCATCTGGACAGGTATTTTGATTAATAAATCAAATGAAAACATTGTCATCAACCTTCCTTAGCATGAGTTTTCACAAAGCAAAATTAAATTGCAAGCAAGGCACGCCTTCCAGATGATCATTACCAGGACAGTAAGTCTCAGAAGAGAATTGTCTCATTTTAATGAATTACAGTTTAATGTGAAAATAATAGGATTTTAATGAATGAATTTGCTAATAGCATTCCTCTCTCTTAGGTACAAACCCACATTAAAATGGGCAATAAACATAATGTGTTTTGCATTTATTAATATGTCCTTTACCTGTGTCTCCCACCCCCAAAATATCTCATGGAAATTTTAAAGCAGGACTATTTAGCCAGGAGGAGAAATATATATCTTCTGATGTTATTTAAAAATATCTCAATAGAAGAAATGTAAATTCAGAAACTATGAAAATACTCCTAGAACTAGAGTTTCACAGTGGACCCATCCCATAGAGATTTGACCGTTTCTTGATTTTATAGGTAAGAAGAAGTACTAAAATTTTCAGCCACATTGTGGGTTATATAGACTTTTGTCCTTTGCTTAACAGTGGGGGATATAACTTATGTACATTATTTTTTTCTCTGGGAAAATGTATTATTTATAGTATTAGAAAATTTAGTTTCTTTCCATCATATTATCTTTAATGGAACTGTTTGTACCAAGAACTTTTGTAGAATAATTGTAGCAATCCCACGCATGTAATTATTTTTGCTCTCATTCTTTAACCCAGAAGACATCTTTAATGCTGAAATACATCTTCTCTTTGACCTCTTATACAGTGGTTTTGGTGAGCTTCTTAAAGTAGGTCGCTTGCTGAATTCCATTATGTCATATTCTCCAGTGTCTGTGGCTTCTCTTTGAGTAGCAAATAGCTTTCTTTCTTGAACTAATTATTAATTAACCAAGTATTTTCTTAGAGACATGTTGCATTTGTTAATTATGATAGCTTTTTGTTGTAAATATTAGAAAATTTTGCCATAATTATTTCATTTTGTATTTCCATGCCTACCTGGTCTTAAATGAACCCACACTTTAGATTAAGTAGGCACAGATGGAATATTCTTATAGTTAAGTCCCACCAAGTCCTCCAAGTGCACAGTAAGAAAAGTAAGTCCAATTTTCATTATAATCTATGAAATCTTCAGAATTTCGGGCCACATAGTGTTTTCTCATTCTGATGATAGCTTCTAGATTCCTTCACTGCCTCAGAAGAAAGGTTTCTGCTTGCCTTCTATTGAATGAAACCATGCATTGAATGAAACCATGTCAGCTGCAGGGTTAAGTCACACTAGTAGTGGCTGCCTTCCTGGATCACATTGTCCTCTCAGATCTTAGAGATGTGGCATTTTGTGTTTCTTTGACTCTTCCAGTACTGCAATGCTCCTAGTCACAGGAAAATATCTTGAGGCTGAAAGAACTTAACAAATGTATGTATCACTATTCTTTATTGTTCCCAATGCTTCTTAATAGATGTTTGATTTCTCCTTCTTTGCTATTTCATTAATAAATTAATAGTACCAAATCCACTTCTTGTTCCTTACAATGTATATTACAGCTTCCTTGACTCCACCACTGGATGAATAGTTGCTAAGTGAGAAAATGGGGAGAGCAGGGGAGAGAGGAAGCCAAGCCAACACCCTGCATAGTGTCTGGTTATTTCCTTTGTTTTGAGTGAGGTTTTTTTTCCCTGCAACAAGTCTTATTAAATCTTAGGTACTAAATATTAGAAAGGTGTGGGTAGTTTAAAATTTCTCCAAACATAATAGTTTTATTTCTTGATAGATGTCAGAAGATCTAAGACCTCCATGAATCCAGGAGAGCTAGCAGTTTCTTCATGCTCATCTATTCAGCAACCTTAACCCCTTTCTCTGCCCACTGCAGCTTGCAGAATCAGGTACTTCTTGTGAATCAGCTGAGGATGGCAGTGGTGTACTTGGGACATTTGCAAGGTTTCCAGTTTATAGACCTACAAAATCCTAGCTTTTCAACTACGTTTGCTCCTGATTTAACCATGAGAGAAATGGATAATTCTCAATTTTAATAATCTAATTATTGTAAACTGGGAATCTCTTATCTGGAATGTTTGAGATCAGACATTTGAGATCAAACAAATCATTTAGATTTCAGAATTTTTTGGATTTTAAGGTATTGAGGTTTGAATGTGAAATGTCCTCCATAGCCTCACATGTTTGAACACTAGATACCCAGCTGCTGGCACTATTTGGGAAAGTTGTGAAACCTTTAGGGGATAGCTTTTCACTAGAGGAACAGAGGTACAGGGGAAAGCCTTGAGGCTTTAGAGCCTGGCCCCTCTTCCTGTTCAGACTTTACTTTCTGAGTGTAGATGCCCTGTGACCAGCCAGCCTCCTGTTCCCGCCACCATGCCTTCCCTGCCTGCTGCCTTGTCTTCCCCATCTGATGGACCTTATTGCTCTGGAACCATAGGCCAAAATAAACCCTTTTTCCCTTACATTGCTTTTGTCGGGGTATTTTATCACAGCATTGTGAAAGTAACTAAGACATAAGGTATTTGTGTAGACTTTACTAGATGAGCCTCCCTAATTAAAAAATCTGGAATCTGAACATTAGAATCTGAAACTTTTCAGGCTTTGAAGTGACGCTCAGAAAGTTCCACATTTCAAATGTTCAGAATAGGGACGGTTAACCTGTATAGGATTTCTCAACTTCAGCACTGTTGACATTTTGTGTTGATTAATTTTTCATTGTTGGTTGAGGGATCTCATGTGAATTTTAGGATGATTGCAACATTCATGGCCTCTACCTACTAACTGCTCCAGTTTTGATAAGCAAAAGTGATCCTAGACTTCACACTCAGAAGTTTCACACTGAAAATGGCTCCATACTGAGAAGCCCTGTTCCAACATTTTAGACATTCTTCACAAAGCAGCATAATGCAGAGATTTGACTCTGTGCTCTGAACTTTATTACATACTCATATTTGTAGCACTTACCTGCATGTACTTACTTTCATTTAACCTTCATTTATTAAAATGAAGTATTAAAAGTATTAAAATACTTTTGCAAAGAATTTCATTTAAAAACTTTAGCTTCCTTATTAAAGCATGACTTTTTTTCTTAAATCTATAAAAACAAAATATTTCTTTTGGAACAA